TGCCTTGGCAACTAGTATAAAATTATATTAAAGCTAAACAGAAATATTTTAGAAAAAAAAGACCAAAATAAAAATATAATTGGAAAAACTGAAACCAAAATAAAAAGTATTTTATGACTTCAAAACTAACTATAATAAAAATTATTTAATTAAAAAAAAAAATTATATGATTTTTTTAATTAAAAAAAGCAGATAAATATATACTGAACAAAATTATAAACGCAACACTTTTGTTTTTGCCCCCATTTTTCATTAGCTGAACTCAAAGATCTAAGACTTTTTCTATGTACACAAAAGGCCTATTTCTCTCAAATATTGTTCACAAATCTGTCAAAATCTGTGTTAGTGAGCACTTCTCCTTTGCCAAGACAATCCATCCACCTCACAGGTGTGGCATACCAAGATGCTGATTAGACAGCATGATCATTGCACAGGTGTGCCTTAGGCTGGCAACAATAAAAGGCCACTCTAAAATGTGAGCCTAAGGCACACCTGTGCAATAATCATGCTGTCTAATCAGCATCTTGATATGCCACACCTCTGGGGGTCGATAAACAACTATAAAATAGATTTTAAGAGGGTGGGTAATAGTGGCTGAATGAAGGAGCTGTTGATACTCAGAGATGGTAAAGGATTAAATTTCCAACCATTAGAGATAAGCAGACCAGCACCTCCACCTCTTCTAGTCAGACGGGGGGAGTGGAAAAAAGAGAAATTACTGGAGAGTGCTGCAGGTGTAGCATTGTCCTCTGGTTTGATCCACGTCTCTGTCAGGGCCATGAGGTTTAGTCTTGAATGACTTGTAATAGAAGTAATAAAATCTGCTTTGTTTACAACAAAGTAAAATAAAATAAAATTACAATTTAATAAAATAAATTGTACTAAATAATTTGTAGTTTTAGTTATTGATACAAAATATATTGAAAATTGACAAAGACAAACTAAAAATAAACAGAAATAAAATAAAACTTCAAAACTATAAAAATGTCTAAAGATCTAACAATTTGTTTCCAGATTTTTTCTGCATTTTTCATCCTTTTTTGCGTTTAATATTCTGTTGCTATAGTGTTCTGAATGGTTTTATCCTGTTGCTAATGCAGTTTCTAGGGTGCTTTGGGCCATGTGGTTGCTTACTGACCCAAGTAAAAACATCTGTAAATGTAAGTAACAATATTCTTTTTTAACCCTTAGGCTCTGATGTGCATGTCCTGTGATGAGGAAAGATGGAGACGTCCAACTTCACACTTTCTCCAAACTCCAGCCATGCTAACAAGACCGACTCTTCCCCAGACAGTCCATTCACTCTTGTGGAGCTTGTTCTCATCATTCTCGGCCTGAGCACTTTAAGCCTGATCACCATTATCGGCAACGTGCTGGTCATGCTCTCCATCAAGGTCAACAGGAACCTCCAGACGGTCAACAACTACTTCCTGTTCAGTCTAGCATGTGCTGACTTGTTCATCTGCGTTTTCTCCATGAACCTGTACACTGTGTACATTGTGACTGGCCGCTGGCCTTTAGGAGCTTTGGTGTGTGACCTCTGGTTGGCTCTGGACTACGTGGTGAGCAACGCCTCCGTTATGAACCTCCTCATCATCAGCTTTGACCGATACTTCTGCGTCACCAAACCTCTCAGCTACCCGGTCAAAAGGACCCACAGGATGGCAGGCATGATGATCGCCGCCGCTTGGATCCTGTCGTTCATTCTCTGGGCTCCGGCCATCCTGTTCTGGCAGTTCATCACAGGCAGCCGGACGGTTCCCAAGGGCGAGTGCTACATCCAGTTTTTCTCCAATGCCGTGGTGACCTTCGGCACAGCCATCGCTGCCTTCTACCTGCCGGTCGTCACCATGACCGTACTGTACTGGCAGATCTCCAAAGCCAGCCGCAGCCGCGTCCGAAGCAGAGACAGCCGGAGAGTTTCTCGAGTCAGTAATGATGGAGGCCAGGCTGGACCCACAACTGGGAGCAATACGGAGAGGAAGTCGATCCAAGCAGGAGAGGAAATGGTCCTATGCAAGCAGAGTGCTTCAGATGCCACTACAGGTAAGTAATTCCAAATATTCTCATCATCCCAAACCTGTATGACTTTTTTCTTCAGTGGGAGATATTTTGAAGAATGTTCACACTTTCTATAATGTTTTACACAATTTATGTGCAAAGACCAAGGGCTGTCAAGCTCCAAAAAAGACAAAATAGTCTATACCAGAAATTTCCACACTTTTTCAATTAGTGTTGTTATTGTTAACTAATGTTAGTTTAAAAAATGTATAAATGTAATAACATTTGTGTTGATTGAAATAAATCTGAAAGAATAAAATAAAATATAAATATTAGATGAAAAACCTAAAGAACTTACTCAAAAATTAGAAATTGCTTTGGCAACGGAAAATAAATAAATAAACTGAAGTACTGAAATTCCTAAAACTAAAATAAAAATAAAAATAAATTAAAGCTAAGCAGAAATATTTTTAAAAGAAAAAAAAAGTCAAAAGCACATACAAATATTAAAACCTAAATTAAAATGATAACTAAAAAATGACTAATTCAAAATATTAAATACTATAATAGTAATAGTATATAATTAATACTAAATTAACAGTTTGAAAAGGACACTCAAATATGACCCTCTTTCTTTTTTAATTATTTCTTTATTATTTTAATAATATGCATAGGAGAAAAGAGTCATAGAACAAAAATAACATATACAATTAGTAACAAAAGTCAGGTACAGTAAAAATAATAAAATAATAAAGGCAGCAGTAAGTATTTAGATATAATAAACTGATGGAAAATACAGTACAGATGCAGGGAAGAAAATTGTATAATTTTATAATAATAAAAATTTATTAGATAGATAGATAGATAGATAGATGGATAGATGTAAAAAAAAAAATCCCCTTGTAAAATATAAAGGCAGGTATATATAATCATGTATAAAGACACATCTATCTATCTATCTATCTATCTATCGTTTGTGTGTATTTGTTATTGTTAAAAAATCTTATTGTTAAAATATCAAAATCACTAATGTGTTCAAAATCATGGATAAAATATTTTAAAATAATTATAAATTATATTTAATTAATTATAATTATAAAAACATTTTAAAAGACTGAAATTGAAGCTGCTAAGACATATAACTACTTTTATGGTCTTTTTGGGAGCTCGGGCAAGCCGACCATATACACTCAATCACAAGTATTATGTTCCTTTCCCAGTTTGCTTAATCAAATATAGCTAAATCTCATAATCATCAAAGATCTCAGTGAAAATGTATTGTACCCACCTGCAGGAGAAGAGCGTGAGAGTGAGAATGACTCTATATCCGGAAGAGTGCTCGCTTCTTCCAGTCAGAGGGACGAGGAGGCCGTATCCATAAGCACTAACAGTGACATCAGAAGCCGTCAGAACCAATCAGCTCCGCTGGCCACAGGAAGTTGGGTCAAATTTACTTGCTTCAGAACAACATCCCAAAAGGACCTGCAAAACACCTATAAACCCAACAACGGAGGTCAGGACATGACCAACGGGAAGGAAAGGCTGAGTCTGGTGTCACAGAAGATTCTCATGCCACGTTATCAGAAGAGGAAGAGCTTATCATTGCGGGAGAAGAAAGTCACAAGGACCATTATGGCCATTCTGGTGGCGTTTGCAGCCACATGGACGCCCTACAATGTCATGGTGCTCATCAACACGTTTTGCTCGGCCTGTATTCCAAACACGATGTGGACCTTTGGCTACTGGCTCTGCTACATAAACAGTAAGGTGAACCCAGCCTGCTATGCCCTGTGCAATGTCACCTTCAAGAACACCTTCAAACAGCTGCTGACATGCAAATACAGGAATATTCATGCCACCAGAAAACATTAAGACTGTGGGGCAAAGCCCTATGCGCTTATAAACCGCTTCACTGACGATATCCAGAGTCTGGTTTGGATCCGTTCCTGGGTTTGAAAATACCAGGCTTGTCCAAACTGTTGAAACATTTATATGATATTTCAGCAGCCAAATTATGAGGACTACTGAAAAGTAGCTGCGTTTTATTTCTTTGCATTATTAAAATACAAATATTGGTAATTTTCATTGGTGCCCTTCCAAGCTTCTTGCTAAAACATTTTATTACAAATTATATGTATAAAACACACTACTGCTCCAAAGTTCCACAAAAATGTTAAGAAGCACAACTGTTTTCAGCATTAATAATAAGAAGAAATGTTTATTGATCAGCAAATCTGCATATTAGAATGATTTCTGAAGGATCATGTGACACTGAAGACTGGAGTAATGATGCTGAAAAGTCAGCTTTGCATCACAAAAATAAATTACATTTTAAAATATATTCAAATAAAAAAAGTTACTTTAAATTGTAATATTATTTCGCAATTTTATTGTATATTTTAACCAAAGAGACCTCCATTACAGTGCATGTATTTGTTAAGATCACGTGTTCTCTTTCAATGTGACTTTAATTAAATTTTCCTAGTATTCAAGTAATTATGCCAATAATGATACTTCATTATTACACTAATATATATATATATATATACACACACACACACATTTTATATATAATTATTTGCAATTTCTAAGTGGTGCAGTATTCTGCATGTATAAAAATATTTATTTATTGTTGTTTTTTTCTGATTAGCCTTATGAAAATAATCTAATTTTCACTTTTTTACTTCCAATTAAATGTACTTAAAACACATTTGATTATCATGTTATCTTATGTATATATGCACTGTTTAGTTATTTATTCATCTATGTGTGGTGGGAAAAAAATAAAAACAGTAAAATTATGTAAAGAATGTAATTCAGACAGAATGTAATGAGTGTTGTTGTATTGAACTGGAGAATACAAAAAAAAAAAAAAAAAAATATATATATATATATTTTTTTTTTATATCAGTAATGAAACCATTTAGTTAAAAACAAATTTGAGCTTTAATCATTTATCATAAGAAAATAAACAGACATCTTTAACAAGCAAACTGGCCTTTTTTTAAACAAAATTTAAATTGCATATGTTCCATTTTACCAGGGAGGAATCACATAAAACCAACAAGCAAGTTTTCCGTCCTTGTCCACGCACATGGTAAACATTTTTTCCTCTTCAGTTTACAGTATAACGCTGGTATTTCAGGATAAATACTATTAAAGGCAGTGACAAAAAGGGTTTGTCAGTGGAAATGAGAATAAAATACATTTTTACCTCAATATGAAGCTCTAAAATAAAGTACAGAAAAACACAAAGGCATTCAAAGGGAACCGTCAGACTGCATAACATTAGCAAGGCTGTTCAGTGTTTTATTGCTGATTCAATTTGAACTACATCAAGCCTCTTTTCCGAACAGGCTTAGTAACAAAGTACACGACGTCTTCATAAAATAATACACGTCTCTAGAAAAACCAAGACATCGCTGGCGACGCTGAGGTAGTTAGGAGGTGTAGCAGGGCAGGATCTCAGACGAGTCTCCTAAACCCTTGTCCTCGGTCATTTGCCAAAGTCCCAAGTTCAACACCTTAAGGCAGGGCAGCTGCGTGATTCTCTCCAGTCCTCTTTTCGTTATTTTGGTACAGCCGTACAGGTCTATGCCGGTCAGCTGCGTCAGGTGATCCGCTATGAGCTCGAGGCCCTTGTCCGTGATCCGCACGCACTGGCCGATGTTCAGCGTCTTGAGCTCGTGCATCTGCCGGACCATCCGGTTGATCCCGTCGTCGCTGATGTGGCACGAACAAAGCGACAGGGACTTGAGCTGGTACAAGCCCTGCGCGATGTAAGCCAGGCTCTGGTCGCCCACTTTGTCGCAAAACGACACATCCAGCCCGTACAGCCTCAAAGCGCCCATGGAGAGATGCATGATTCCCGTATCGCTAATGTTATCGCACGAGCGCAAGTTCAGAGTCCAGAGCTGGGTCATGTGTGACAGGTGGATCATGCCAGCGTCGGATATGCCACCGCAAAAGCTCAGGTTTAGGACTTTCAGCTTGTTTAGGCCCTTAGAAATGTGCTTGAGCGACAAATCGGTCAGTTTCTGACAGTCCTGCAAAGTGAGGTGCTCCAAACTCAAGCAGCCCTCCGCGGCGCTGCGCGTCATGCCGGCCAGGTGTCCGATGCCTACGTCCGAAACGTGTCTGCAGCTTCTCAAATTCAGGCTTTTGAGACTATGAAGGCCCCAGGCGATAAGCAACAACCCCGTGTTGGTGATATTACTACACCCGCCCAGATCCAGCAGCTCCAGGTTCTTTAGATACTGCGCGATCCTGCCCAAACTGGAATCGGTGATCTGTTTGCACAGGCTCAGGTTGAGCATCCTCAGTGACGGGATGTCCTGCACGAACGCATGTCCCAGGCCGTTATCCGTTAGGTTGTAGCATCCGCTCAAGTTAAGGCTCTCGATGCTGGGCATGCCCTGGATAACGTAGCTAAGGCTGCGCCTCAGGCTGAGGATCTGGACTTTCTTGATGCCTCTGGTTTGGAGGCTGGGGAACAGCGATGGGTTTGCTCTTCTCAGGTGGAGTTTGGCTTCTACTCCTCTCCAGACGGATTTATGGTACGAGGCGTCTCTCCACGCCGTGTATATAAAATCATATATTTAGCTCTTAAAAACATATAAGCATTTACATTAGGCCTAAGCAACACTAAAAAATAATTTACGTTGAAAAAGTCTTGGCACGTTTTATTTTTAAAAAGCAGAAGCTTTTTGGTCGTAAATATATTTCTAACAAATCATTGTTTGTAAACTTTATGATATTAGGGTATTAAAGTAACTTAATTTGAGTCAAATCCGCGTTTCATTCCAAATGCTCACTTATCGGTTATTATAGGAGTCGGGCATATCTGAAAGAAGCTGGTCTCGGTTCAGTGAATCATTGAGTTATTAGGCTTGTTTGAGATGAGCAAAATCTGTGCAGAACCGATCACCGGTGATCACCGCGAGATGCATGCCGGTTAGAAAAGTGTCCGAGTTACGTCCGACTTGCTCTGATGTCATGCTGACGTGTGCCAAAAAGCTCTCGCGACAGCGAGGCGGCTGTGTCGGATTGTGCAGTCGAGCGCAGTTGCTCTCCACCGACTGCGCTGATCAAAAGCATGATGGGAAA